TATTTCCAAGCACTACCCCGCTGCAGAGTTTATTAGTTTCCTGTGACCTAATAGCACTGCATGCATAGACACAATACATTTACTGTGGAGCTAATTAAGCAACTCCACAGTAAAAGTAAACATCTTGTGTACATATGTCCAGTGTAAGGTGTAACAAGGCCCTGACTGGAGAGTTGTGAACAGAATATAGATTGAGAAATTGCATCTCTTCATGTGAGTAAATGATTCTGTCCTAGAGGTATAGTGCACCCAAATATTTCACCAAAGACTCCTTGTACAGAGATCCTGGGCAGGTTTTTTCCTGGCTTAAAACTTCTCCAGATACTGATATTTAGTCTGTTCTGACTTCAGATTTGTTGATAAATTGCAGTTGCCTCAAAGCCTGATCTCTTTGTGATGTTACAGGATTGTGGGAAGTCCCCAGGGTAGCCATGGATGTGTACTTGATGATACGCCGCCATAAAATGACCATCTTTGCCAATGCCAAAGAGAACACTACTGTTTATGATCTGAAGAAAGTTGTGGAGGGGATACTAAAGAGGCCTCCAGAGGAACAGCAGCTATACAAGGATGACCAGCTGCTGACTGATGGCACCAAGACTTTGATAGACTGTGGCTTAAGTAGCCAGAACTGCCGTCCCTACGCACCAGCTACAGTGGGCTTGGCCCTATTCAGACCTGGCAATGGCTCCTTTGAGCCACTGCATATTGACCCCTTTTCCACCACCCCAGAATTGCCTGATGTTATGAAGCCACAGGATTCTGGTGGCAGCACCATTGAGCAGGCCATGCACTGAGACCAGCATTTGCTACTGTGCCTCCAACCCATCTTACACATGGACATAGGGGCCAAGTGCTAGTCTCCTTGTCAATCATGTTGCACTTATGTTCACAGAATTTAAAACTGAGTTGAATAATAAAGCTTAGCAGTCTAAATTTCACTGATCCAAGCATATCACAATATCTACAGAGCAAAATGATGATTCTACTTTCTGGGACCCTTGATTCTTCAGGGACAGCAGGTAGAAATAACAGCAGTGGCATCTCTAAGGTCTAATGTAGTGATTCTGGAACAGAATCCTGTGACGCTATGGGGTGCTTTGAGATCCTTTCCAAGGTGTAATGCAATGTTAACCCCATCAGGTGTGCAAACATGATTCACAAGATGAATCCAGAGATTCCAAATAGTGATCTAAAACATTTTGACTGTGTGTGGTCTTTATGTGGCCTTTGCAGCAGAAGAACATCTCTCTCTTTCTCTCTTTCTCTCTCTCTTTCATAGTCAGAAATGAGTAAAAACTATGAGCTAGCATCTTCTGAGCTGGTCCCTCGAGTCTAAAAAGGTTGAGATTCACATTCATGTTCTAATGCATTGTGCCTAAAGACTTCTTTTCCAGACTCTTTCATATGACCTATCCAGACCAGATAAAGACTAAATTGCAAAAGTTACTTTTACTAGGAAACCAGCGTTATCAGCTCTTGCGATTTAATATTAACTGGACTTAAGGTTGATCATTTTTTTCTGAAGCCCCTCTCCTAGTATCATGTGCCCAAAGGAGACACTTGGCTTGCAAATTTCCTTAAAATGGTTCTAGATGGTATGTTTACGTTGGAAAATATCATGTTAACTCTAAGCGCTCTGATCAGTTGGCAAATAAAGAAGTCAATCTTAAGGATTTTAACTAGATCTTGATTAAGCCAATCTTTAACACTCTAGAGCCTGACTCCAAGCTTTTTCCATAGTTGGGACTGGCTGTACTCTACAAAGACACAATGGCAACAAATATGATATCCACTTTAGCAACAAACAAGTACAAGCTGGTGTTTAGAGTAAGTATGGGTAAGCAGGAGCTAGTCCAGGTTGGAGGGAGAAACTATTAAAGAAAGATCAGCCAACATGTTAATTAATGATGGATATTTGCTTTTCTTCATCCATTTTTTTTTTCCTCCCAAATTATGTAAGCCAAAGGACAGTGCTTACACAAAACTAAATGGGAATAGACTGGCCATGAATGAGCTTAGGCTGGATATTAGAAGAAAGTTTTGGTCAATTAGAGGAGCTGTGCTTCTGTAACATTTTACAATAGTTTTTTTAATTTATTTTTTAGTCCCTATGATTCCAAACTTGTCTTAAGATGGAGTTTGAATAAGCATGATATGATGCCTGCAACATAGGGGCCTGGACTTACTGAACTAAGGATTACAGCTGTGCGAAATTTTGCCAGCTGTTTCATTTCATTTCAAGCTTTAAACAGCGAGATCTAAATGAAACAAAACAGCCTCAAAACAAAACGAGGGCAGTCGAAATGTTTCAAAAGTTTTGAAACATTTTTAGATTTGAAGCAGCCTGGCTGAGTTCCCTTCTCCAGCCTGATCCCAGAACTGGGGAGGGGAACTTGGCTCAGCTGAGCTGAGTTCTCTTCCCCAGTCCAATTGATCGCAGTGCTGGGGAAGGGATCTGAGTGATCTATGGGCAAAACATCGAAACAGCATCAAAACAGCGTCACTGTTTTGATGAAACTAAAAGGAACAGCGGTTTCGAGTCTAAATGAAATTTGAAACAAAATGCTGTTCCGTCGAAACACAAGTCGAAATGGAACGGTGCCATTTCGCACAGCCCTACTAGGGATCCCTTCTACAGCTGTGCTTCTAAAAATTCAACTACATCCAGTTCCCAAAGAAATGGTTACAAAATGTTTTGATAAATGTAGCACTCTCATCTTAACAGATGCTTGGTGTTAGGGGGAGAATCATCCAAACATTCAGTTCAAGTGATGTAGCTGATAGTCTGCCATCAGACGTGCTACCAAAATGGCCCCTGTCTTGCTGGACAACAAGGGCCTCATGTGATGGAAGAGGGCAGTAATTGCATCTTTCTACATCAGGGGCGGGCAATTATTTTGGGCGGAGGACCGCTTACCCAGTTTTGGCAAGCTGTTGAGGTCTGCATGGGTAGCCCCGCCCCTTGACATGTGCCCCGCCCCCTGGTCACCATCTTGGGACCAATGTCCCAATGTCTTGAAACCAGTGCCCCAGTACCAATGGGGCCGAGTGGGACGCAGGCTAGCAGGGGCCTGTGGAGCCGGGCTCAGCTGAACCAGCAAGGAGAGTGGGGAGCTGTCCCGGCTCCATAGAGACCCTGCTGGTCGGGACCCTGTACCCCTGCCGTCCTGCTCTGGGCCCTGCTGGTGCGGGCCCTGTGCTCCCGCACCCGCTCACTCCCAATGCCCCCCCAGCCCCGTGGTACAGACAGGGGGCAGTGCACAGCCCCAACTCCCTGCTCACCAGCAGGGAAGGAGCTGGTGTGGACTGCGGGGAAAAGTGGCCCTGCCCCACCCGTGGCCAGTGCCCGCTGCTGCAGCCACTCGCAGCCCACACAGGGCTGTCCTGAGCAGGCACAGGCAGCCCCACGCCAGGCACAGAGCGGGAGAGGGACCGCTTTTCCTCACACTCCACACCAGCTTGTAACCCACCCCCACTGCCAGCCTGGGCCCTACGCTGGCTCCGGGCTTGCCCATCAGGGCTGCGCCACAATGGCAGCAGCTGCACCCCCCCTGCTTGCCAAGCTGGGCAGCGTTTGCTGCTGCTGCCTGCCCACAGTTCATGTGCTGAGCAGCACAGGGGCAGCAGTGGCAGCTGCACTGCAGCCTATCACGGCACAAGCTCTGGGCAGGCAGCAGCAGCAA